TATATACCTACATCTGTATATACATGCAGGTATACATCGCCATCGTTCCGTGCTTTCATTCGTTCGCGGAAAGAAGTAAAGAGCTTTGTCGCCGCGGCATCAAAAGCTTGAATGACGCGACGATGAAAGAAGGAAGTATCGGTACAAGAAACTGCACAGTGAATACTGAAAAGAATGTAGTCACGGGAAGAAGGAGGACGAGGGGAGGGGGGGATAGAAGGAGTTAAAAAGGAAAGGAAAAGATAGCGAAAACGGGAAAGGGAAGAAAGGAGGGAGCCGAGAAGGGAAAGACCGATAAAAGTTTCTGCCTCGGAGACGGATATTGGAAATACGTTCACCGATCGACCACCGCGATTTATTAATTAATTCATCCCCCTTTTCGCGGCAAATCGACCAACTATTCTACGAGAAAATTCCAACAACTTCTCGAATCGTAGAAAAATTCAACTTCCCTACATTGTCGCGCCGGTTATTTACCTCGCGTAAATCATCCTCGTATACAGATTTAGTCCGCAAACTCTCGGACTCCCTCGAATCCAACCGCATCGAACGTTACCTTCTTCTTCCTTTCGATTGTTCGACCGAAGCTCGAACAAAGTTGGACGGGTTCAAAAAAACATCGGTGGATTACACGATTGCCAGACACGGCCGAGTTCTAATAGCTAAGTCAGGTACGCCGGATTACGCTAAACTATTACGAGCCTTCAAAGCGCGAGCCTCGTTGTGTATACAGGGTGTCCCGTATAGGCGGCCCGTGGAATCGCGGCGAAATGACGTAAAGCCAGAGGGAAGAGAGAGAGAGAGAGAGAGAGAGAAGGCTGAAAAGCCATACCCGCGGCAGCGTATGCAGATAATCGGTACAAAGCCTTTCGTCGAATGACAAAGGAGAGCACTGGCCAGCCTCGTGGTTCCCTTGCGTCTATACGCGAACGCGTGCATACACGCTCGCATTCAGCCGGTATTATTATACTGGGTGGCGACGTGTGCTACCGCGGGAGAGGCCCAATTTCGAAGGCTTTATTCGAATCGTTGAAACGAGACAAGGTTTTGTCACCGGGATTCTTATGCTTCTCTCGCGGATCATCCGGAGAAACCTTGTCTCGACACCGTCCCTTACCGCGACACCAATTTCATTTTCTCCTCGATCCTACTCGGCTGATTTAAACGTTCTTAAACGATCGATTTAATTAGAAATTGGACGCATGTACCGTCCGATGTCGGATCTCGTGCACAATGCTTCGGTCAGAATTGTCTACTTAGGAAACCAGTTTGGAATACGGAGGAAAGTGCAGCGTGGAAACGCGGTTCCCTGCAGCACGTCGACACCGCGTCAGAGAGCAACATCTTACTTCGATAAAAGTCGCGGAAGTCTATTAATCACCGGGGCGCATTGTGACATTCAACCGAGCGGCATTCAGGGTTTCAATATTATCGATACTCAACAGCGGGGCCGGCATCCGCGTCTATTGAAAGAGAGTTTATCAATAGAGCGCAGGACACTCTTGCTGTATCCGCCTGTAAAGCGGTCTAAGCTCGCCACGACTCCTCGTACAATCTTTCGGAAACGATGACCGCCTCCGGGGTAGAAATTTTTCATGCGGGCTAAACACGATCCACCTTCTCTCCTTCGATCGCGATCGATTCACCTGATCCCCCCAATTAGCGTTTTCGTCCTTCGAAAATAATCCGGAGAGGCCTTCCTTCCTTCCACTTCCCGTTACGAATGGAAAGAGTAAGCATAAAGAACGTGGTGCTCGAGGTCGTATTTTTCGGCAATTTCACCGTCCAGGCACGTACGTAGAAGGTCTTATCTTGGAGGTATCAGAAGGATGAAGGTGTGTGGTCGAGGAGATTTTGGAGGGAAGCACAATTGCTCGGGGTAAATGGGAATAATTCACTTTAATTCTGACAGAAGTAGTTCAGTTTCAGGGGATACGGTCGGTCATGGTCAGACACGCCTACCCTGCTTACTTTACTACGAATCTTGCGGGAATCTCTTCTCGTAAAAGTATTTGACGGATTTTTCGACAAACTCGTTCGACAAATTTTTAGCAACAGCACTCTTCGGCAACTAGGTAAAGGTTTAGCAGACTATAAGCAGTGGGTGCAAGTAAATTCCCGTGTTCAGACCGCGATCTAATTATCGAGCTCTATTTTCAAGCTCGTCGAAGATATCCTCCGAAGGAGCGATGCCTGGTGCGCATTGACGTTCGAAACGAATCCACGGTTAATCCGGCGAGCACCAGGTACAAAAAGACAGGGAAAAGCCGGACGAATTCGCGGAATGCACGGTTTCCTGACCAACAGACGATTCTCTCCACGGTCCAGTTAGACGATACAGAATTAAGCTCGAAAAGTACTCCGGGCGAGTAGTAGCCGGGGATACGGTGGAATATCCGGGGCCTATAGAGCTATAAACAGCGACAAAAGGATACCGAGTGGGCGACGAGCATTGAATGTACGAGAAAGGATTGTATGCCAGGCGAACGTTGCTGACGATGGTAGCGACGTTGCTGCTGTTGCTTTTGGCATACGTGTGTCACGTACGGTCTCGCTACGCCTGTCTGCGGCCTGCTTTTTTCGGTGTATCCGTGCTTGCCGGCAGAAAAGCGGAGTATTTCAGCCCGCGTCCATATGAACGTAGGGACGAAACAATGTAGCTTTTGTGCGAGAAAGAAACGGAAAAGCCAAGCCAAAGAGAGAGCCTAAGAGCGATTGAAATGCTCGCCCGTCTGTCTCTTGTTCTCCACGCCTCCTCCTTCTACTCCCTCTCTCCCTCTACCCCCCTTTATCTCTCCTACCCCTTTTTCTTCCCCTGCGTCTTTGCACGCTCTTCTGTCTTTTTGCACTCAGCCGTCTATGTGTGCCGTCTCTTCCTTCGGTAGTCATCGCTTCGCCTTTGCTTTGATGATCACACTGCCGCCAGCTTCCAACCGCTGTACCTACTATTTTCCCAAGGATCAATTCTTCCTAGTCCTCTTCCGTCACTTTTACCGGACACTAACCTTGACCCTCGCTTGCCTCTCGCGAGAACGTATGGAAATTATCTTACTACCTCCCTCCACCCCCACCGAAAAGTCGTCCAAGACAAAGGAATCCTTTTTTCGGCGGAGCCTCGAAGCATGACAGAATGAGAAAGTAACGACGCGCAGCGGTCGAGGCGGCGGGAGGGCGAAGGCGCGGTTAGCAATAGAAGGGTGGTATGTGCAAGAGGGGGCGAGTATTGGTAGACACAGATGTGAGGGGTGGTTGCAGGTTGATAGTCAAGACTGCCTTCAGATTTCAGAGTGAAGCATTGTGTCCCGAACGCGCATTGTCCTCCCGTCACCGGGAACTCGACAATGCCGAGTCCGTAAGTTAGTAACCCTACCGTAAAAACTTATCTCCACCCCAAACCATCGACCTCCAGCCTCCGTGATTCCGTTCGATTTCCAACCTCCTCCCGCCTACTCTTCTTCCGCTTTTCTGCCCTGTGCCTCGTGACTTCTACTCGCTTTTCCTCCTCTTCTCTAACCCCCCTCTAGCTACCCATCCTCCTACTTTCCCTCCCTTCGATTGCGAGAATCAACCGTCTCCTGTGTCCATCGTGTTCTTCTTCTTCTTCTTCTTCTTCTTCTTCTTCCACCAACTTCGAATTTGTCACGACAAATTGACGTTTTGTACGAGGGAAACATGGTTTTTCCACAGTGATGAGAAACGAATAAATTAATTTCGCGTGTAAGATAATTGTTCCGAAAGACGGCCGTATTTTCTCAACCAAGTACCACCGTTTCGAAGAAAGTTCGCTCGTGTTATCTTTGAAAATTGTAACACGGAACGGCATGCACAACTGCGTCGATCAGCGGAGAGTCGAAGAAGTCGATGAGCGGGCGGAGAGACACTCTCGGATCGGAAGTGAACGTCCTGGGGACCGGATACAAACATTAGGGGTTGGCGGGCGGTCCTCTCGTTGGGACTCAAGTTGCCGAGCAACCGGACAACGCGTGGTCGCCGGACAAAGCTCTTCTAATTGTCCCCATCAACGACGAAGAATGGACCGCGGGCCTGCCGCTGACAATTTCATTTGTAATTTGCATAAGGCTTATTAAAATCACAATGGACGTGGACCCACGGGGATGCTCGATCGAGGTGACCGCTGCCTTCTTTTTTTCGCCTGCTCGATAGAGAATAATCACGGTCACCGCTGCGCCGGTAATTCAACTTTAATAAGGAGCAAGACTCCGTCGTTTCGTGCGCCTCTTACTAGTCGTGATAAAGAAAAAAAAAAAAAAAACCAGAAGAAACAATCGATGAATTCCTTCGCCGTGTGTGTGTGTATGTGACAACACTTACGTTTAAAACGGCTGATCCGGCGGGTTGTTTTATCCATCATTGTATCCAGGGACACTTTGCACATTTTCACACTTAATTTCATACTGAACGTATTATACAAAGTAACGCAAAAATCGAAGGAAAATGAACAGGGACGTGTAAGATTCTCTTTTTTTTTTCCACAGGCAAAGAAACGGGCAAAGAAATATTGTCTATATCGTTGTAAAATAAAACTGTCGACGAGCGATCAAACGAAATGAAAAGAAATTAACCTACAGATGGTTCTCTCTGTACGAATAAACAGGCTCTGGCTGCTTCACGTTTCCCGAAATGTGTCGCGCACGTGAAAGACGGCGCGGAACTGAACCATCTCAAAACGCTATCATATCGCGCGCCGCCACATTCCCCCACCAGTTTCTACCAAAATGCGTCTACGCGTCTCTTATTCACGCCGCTATGAAAAAAAATCGTTCCGGTGCAAAAAAAAAAAAGGTAAACGAACATAGCGATAAAACGATCGTTTCGTAATTCGATAAATACAACGGCGAAGCGATAAACAAGAGGTAAGTATCGTTGATTAAAAGACAAGCGTAAAAAGAGCATGATTATTCTTTTACCATTTTCCACGTGGAATATACTAAATGGTTTCCATTAACATATATGTGTATATATATTTCATTCATGTGAAATTAATGCCTGACTCTTGGACAGCTGTTCTCCATAACGCAAATATCTTGATTCTTGTCTCGTACATATCCCTCGGCACAGATGCAACCGCTTAAACAACTTTTCGTCTGAATACAAGGCACGCTCTCCCATATATCCAGATTATCGCAACTCTTTACGCAATCCTGATTCGCCTGACACTGGCTGAAAACCTCGTTCTCTCCGCATGTCCCTTCTAGGTACACTAATTCAGGTTGAAAAAAAAAAAAAAAAGAATCAAAAGCAAGAAGAATAAAAATACAATTTATTCAAAGAAAAAAAAAAGGGGGATTTTTAAAAAAACACCCAAATTACTTACTAGAGAGAATCGCACCTGTCACCACGTCCGAATACCGAAGCAACGAGAAAGCCGAGATAAGGAAAACGAAACTAACACGTGAAATCTCCATATTCGCTCGAGTATCGTGCGACAAATGCACGCGACGATCGAGAGCTCAACTTTAAATACTAGTTTCGCGAGTGAAAAAACTCCGGTGATATCCAAACCGACGTGCTATCAATAAGAGAACCAGTTTTAATCGCGGCAAAGGCAATGCTCTCTCGAACGAGGGCTCTCCAAGTGAGCGTATCTTAGAGATAAAAGAAAAAAAGAAATGAAACTAACCACTATACGCAGCCAAGGAGTTACGACCGACGTTATGCGGGCGGAAGTTTCAGCAGGTTTCGGTAACAATATATCAACTACGGTTTCCTGTTTCATTTTCTCGTGTTATGTATTTTGCGAATCTTTGAATTGTACAGCAACTCGTTTACATACAACATATATAAGTGTCTTACTAGTAAATTACTTGTATGATACCTTAAAAATAAGTATTCCTTGTAATAAAGGGGGCCTGTGATAACACGTGTTCTGTGTGTATGCGTGTGTGTGTGTGTTGTGTGTGTGTGTGTACCGAAAAACAAAGCAAATTATGGAGAATCGATCCAAGGATGCTCAACATTGAGGGTGAACAAACCTATTTTACCCTTGTTTGTTTGTATTTTTTTTTTTTTCTTTAATCTTTTGTTACTAAGAAAAATGTCGTGGTAGTCTCTTCTTTGCGCTGGCGATTCGCGATATTTATCGAGGTTGATTTATCGGAACCGATGATGTCCGTTTTCATATATGATCACACATTTTACACAGCTCTTCTTCTGGCGTGTCAGACGCAAGGAGTTCGAAAAATGTGAGGTGCAACGTTTGGAAACACTTTGCGAAGCAATTGATCGTAATTCAACGAGGAGAAACGTTTCTTTTTTCTTTTCTTGTTCTTCTTCATATTAAAACGTGGAGCAGGGGGAGGTGAGGTGAATTCGTTTTGCGTTGATTTAAAAAAAGAAACAACGAAGGATGCGTTGCGATTATTTCCTAGTACAGTGACAATGAATGATAATGAAAAGCCACTCGCGTCTGTAAAAATACAGCGACCCGAAAGAAAAAAAAAAAAGAAAAGAAAAAAATACTTCCCTTGGAAAGTGCGCGCGCCACAGCAGAAGCTTCTTTCTTTCTTTCTCTCTCTCTCTCTCTCTCGCTCGCTCTCTAATTTCTCTCTCGCTCTCTTTCTCTCTATACCTTAATACTTAAAATGCGATATTTTCCGTGTTCATGA